CTTAGAATGCATCCGCTTCTCATTGTCTGCCCAGTCAACTTCTACAGGCCCCAGTGCCCTGAGTCCCATACATAAGAGATCAAGGGTTACCAAGGTGCTATTGAGAGAGAAGGGCCCAATGCGAGAGGGGACAAACTGGACCACAAAATAATCATTTCCTTTGCATGTTAGGTGCCCTGGTGGGGATTCAGACAGGGTCACTGACACAACTGCTGGAGTTGCTGTTTGTCTTATCATTGTTCTTAATGAAAACGGACCCAGCTCTGTGCAGTGTGTGTGTCTGTGTGTGTGTCTGTGTGTGTGTGTGTGTGTGTGTGTGTGTGTGTAGCTTGATAATGCATTGAGGTGGTTACGCAAGGAAAGTTGGACCTGACTATGGTCAAGCAGTGCCAGACAGAAGTACCTCATTTAGAAAGGTAAAAGGTGCATCTTCCACTCGGGTTCTCTCCACAATGTCCAGTCACTGGACTCTGGCATTAACTTGTATTTTAACAAGATTAAAATATATTTGTCCTGGGGATTAGCATAGTTAGGTGCCCTTTTGCCTTCTTTTTGCTGTGGTGCGATGACAGTGGGCTTTGATCTGTGTTGCATGGCAAGGGTCCTGGCTTGGGCCTGGCCATTCGAGTGCCAAGTGTGAAATTGGCCTGATGTCATTCCCATTCTCCACCTTTTACATCTTTTACCACTTGAATTATGTTTCCGCTACAAAGCCTGGGCACTTCGATGCAGATTCCACTCAGGGTATAGGAAGCATTTAGAAACTATGGTAAAATGACACGGTAGGTGAGGGGGAGGGCATAGCAGGATGGGTTCTTTTGTAGGAAAGCTAGACAAGGGACATTAATACTTTTCTGTAATTTTTTCATATTCTCTTCCTCTTTCTTGGTCTTTCTCTCGCTCTCTCTCTGCCACCTAACTGCCTGTTGGCAGAGAACTTTTGAAAAGTTCTGTGAACTCTCAAAGCAATTACTTTTATTCTCCTTTAAAATAGTTGTTTTTGAAGTACGCATTTTAATGCACACATGCATGTTCATACAGTTGTTTCTTAAGGTAATGTGCTCACTCAGTTAACTAACCATTCATCTCAATGGGAAACCAATAATGTTTTCTTTGGATAGCTAGCTCTCAAACGCAGTAAAGTTATGGTTTCTAAACTATATTTTATGGTTACATTTAACCTTCACACAACAACCAATGGTTTTAGGGCTTAGCAGTTAGTTTGTTTTTTGAAGTGTGATGGGGTTTTGATGTTGGGTTTGAAACTTGGGAAATTGAAATTGACGGAGGTTCCCATTGAAAGGCTGCATAAAAAGCTGCAGAAGTGTGTGTGTGTGGACGAGAGAGAGAGAGAGAGAGAGAGAGAGAGAGAGAGAGAGAGAGAGAGAGAATGAACACAGAGAGAGAGAGGGAGGGGAAGAACAGAGAGAGGGAGAAAGAAAGGGGGGAGTGAGTTTGAGTTTGTGGGTGAGAAAGTACTGTGTATAGAGAATGGGTTACTGTGGGGTGGGGGGGAATGAGCCACCTGCAGCCATGACAGGAAGATTTGACCTTCATTGGTTTTTCTCTCTCTCCTTCTCCCTCCTCTCTCTGTCTCACTCTCTTTTCTTCTTTCTCCTTTCTTTTCCCGCCTGGCCACAGAACCACAGACTCCTTTCAGAAGCAGTGAGGACTGACCAGTCTGCAAGCGAGACACTGGCCTTTCTCCCATCATGCCAGTCACTGACTGTTCTAGGCGTTGCGTTCAAAGACTAGTGGCAGAAGTATGGAAATGCAGATAAAGCATTGTAACAAATGAAAGAGAAAAAAAAGGTTAAATGCCTGGAAATGGTCACCATCCACCACTTGTACCACCGCCTCGTGCATTATCTTTTGTTTTGAACGTTTTGCCAACATTTTCAGTTGTTGACGGATCTGTAGAGTGGAAGTATCTATCTACACACGTTTTTGTTTCTTTGAATTTAAGACGTTATTAACAATGACCTGTCACAGTTTGCTGATGATAGGCCCAAATGTACTCTTTCAGATAAACATTCTACATAGTTTGTTAGATATGGAATCATACAACTGCCATGTAATGTTTACGAGAAAAGTCCACTGGCTGTTTTGGTTATATTCTGATGATTGATTGAGTTGAACCAGTCATAGGCTGGCTCATTTTCATTACAAATGGTTAATATCCATGGGATATAACGCCCACCTGAGTAGTATGTGAGCTAATATGGAAATGTAGCAACATTTATCTCAAATGATATCCAATACATTTGATCCATCTTTATTTTGTAATAAATGTTTTGTCAAAGTTATAAGAAAAAATATTATTCACCATTTTGTGTAATGTTGTGATTATCCTTATCATAATAAAAATAAAGAGGGACTAAAATGTGATGTCTGTGTTTTAAACGTGTATGTTTGTGTCACCTTTATGGACTAACCTGACCTGTGTGATAACAACACAAACCTGGGAATGTAAAGCTATCGGATGAAATTCACTTTACAATTTCTCATGAGCAAATATCATGGTTATAAGACCTACTTGGAACTTATACCAGCATTGTTGTGATATTGCTATTTTATTGTAGGCCATTGTAAATGAAAACAATTTTGGATCATTATTCATTTTTATTTATCTAGTAGTCTTATTGATAAGGTAACTGTAATGGCGATGGTCTTGAGAAGGGAGTGTCAGTTTAGGTGAGTACTAGACCTAATAATAGGCCACCGCTTCAACTAATGCAGCCTTCTGGGCTGGACCTAAACTCTCAGGGGTAGTAATCGTTGCAATAAATGGTGGTAGAATCCAAATCATGTAAATATACTAGATTTCTGCATTTTGGTGCATTTTGTTATTTACCTTTTTGGTCGAAAGGTTACTACGAATGACATTGGTGATTTGCCCAGTGGTGTTGCCAAAACAGTGACGCCATCCACAGGGCTTCACTCCTATTTGTCAATGGAAGAGTCTAAATGGACTCCTTGGGACAACTCTGACGTCACCCCATTGAAGTTGAAATGTAAAACTGTTAGGTAAGGGTTAAGGTTCGGGTTAGGGTTAGGTTCAGGTTATGGGTAATGGTTGATGTAACGGTAGGGGTTAGGGTTAGGGTTTAGGGTAGGGACGTCCCAAGGAATCTGGATAGCACTAACCATTTGGCAATGGAGGGTCACGTTTTCTTTCAGATTTTTCTGTGTTTGCATAGAGATGGCCATGTCTCACAGGCGTTCATAGAAATAGAATGAATTCATTTTATTTCTATAGTTAAGTTATCCTGGACTCTGGATTATAGAAAAATGATGATGCCAAATAAGTTTTAAGTGTATTATCTTCGAGGTTTATTTACTTTTCTTTTCCAGCTTTTCAGGAGGCAGTTAATTACACAATTAATACATACATGATACAAATGATGTACATTATACCAAAGAATACTTTGAACATAAAATTAAAATAACATTGTATAATAATACAACTCTGTGTTGTAATTTCATTTAAACATATTAATCTAGGCCTATAGATAGATATTTGCTGATGAATATATTCTTTATGTCATACCAGCAGTTTTCATAAAGGCAATAATCTTGAATCAATAGTCTGCATTTTGAAGTAATAGGCTACTGCTTCTCTGATTCGGCACAGTTCTGTTTCATAAAAAGTTCTCACTTGAACTTTAAGGCAAAGTGTGTTCAGTTTGGTGGATTTTAATTCACACACACTTTTTCCAGATACACAACAAAACAATTAAAAGGCAAAAGTCCACAATTTGGTATGGATACAGTCTAAAACTTAGCTCGATCATACTCTCGTCGACAAAGACCAAAGTTTATAATAAACACAGTTATTTGCCCAAGTATAACAAATTGCAGCTTTCATGCAAAGGCCCCATAAACCATTTTCATTCACAAAAAGAAGTTATTGCAAGATAAACAAGCAGTGTAAAAACCTCAGAAGTCTACTCTAAAGCAACACCGGTCATTGGATAGATTTTTTTCTCTCAATATAATCTATATAAATACACATATGAAGTCCTTTCAACAACAATAAAAGAGATTTTCAACAATTGTTATACAGTCACTAATGGTTTCGTCTGTTTTTATGATATATATGGATATGCAATAAAATGTATATAGAGAAAGAGTTCCATGGGACGTATAGATAGACCATATGTTCTGATACCTTGTGCCTACTTTTGATAAAGTAGACCTTTAATACTTTCAGCCAAGAGTGCGTTAAACGTTTTGTCATCATTGTCACTATGCTACAGAGTTGTCTCTCGCGTTATAGGCAGCATTATAATAATTCAAAACATTTTGCTACAAAAGATGATTTATATTGCTCTTCAAAAACTATTTATAGAGGCCTCGGTACATTGATATAACACAGAACACGCAAATTGTTTATGGAAATGAACTTGCTTTAGGCTATCCTACGTATTAGCAATTTAGGTATTCTGTCTGCTAACCAAAACATTGCTAACCAATCATTTATGTGATAATACGAATTTTCCCAAAATAGTATCAAAATCCATCTACTTTTCAATTAAGTCTGCACATCACTGACACTCAAAATCCTTGCTATGTCCTTTTTACACTAAACTCAACCCCAATACAACCATAGCAACCATGGAAATGAAATATATTGTCAGCAAATTTATTAAGATTCACAGTTGCCTGGATGCAGCAGAAAATATTCTTTGGACTTAAGCAGGTTGTTTTTCACTTCACTGACAGATCTCAACGTCAAGTGCCAGTTTAAAGCGCTATCATGTAAAAATGAAAATGAATAGCAATATAAAATGAAACGTATAATAAGCATTTATACTTTTCCTGGAAGAAAAACGACACACGTTACAGGAGATTGAAAACATACATTTTTACAACATCTTTTCATAAACATGATATTGCAGAAATATCTCTCTATATTTATCAATTTATGCTGGTATATTCTATACACTGGCCCTTTATTCGGTGAAATTATTGCATCGTGATCTGTATCTCTATCGAAATCAATCGCTGTCTGATTTGTCATCTTTTGACGTCGTAGCATGATTGTACAGTCCCTGTGCCATCAGGTGCAAGGCTAGGGTGTTTTTTGCGCCAGTGGCCTTCTTGATTTTTGCCCTTTTGTTCTGGAACCAGATTTTGATTTGAGATTCGTTAAGGCCGAGTTCTTGCGCCAAGGCCTGTCGCCTCTGTTCGGTCAGATAACGGTTCGTTTGAAACTCGGTTTTTAGTCTTTGTAGCTGTTCAGCTGTGAAGGCCGTCCTTGGTCGCTTGTCCTCTTTGCTGGCGGTTTTCTTCTTTGGTTTTCGAGATCTCGGTCCTGTGTTTAAAAAATATATATATCATTAGCCAAAACCAATCAAAATATGAAATGTGAAAGCTTAGTGTAGCATAGGCTGTAAGTGTCCCAGTTACTACGACTGTAGTAATGAATTCGTTCATTTTAGACCCTACTTATTTATTTATTATTGCACTGTAGGTAGGCCAATACATAACACATAGTCCCGTGTAGCTCAGTTGGTAGAGCATGGCGTTTGCAACGCCAGGGTTGTGGGTTCGTTTCCCACGGGGGGCCAGTATGAAAAATGTATGCACTCACTAACTGTAAGTCGCTCTGGATAAGAGCGTCTGCTAAAATGTAAAAATGTAATAGGCTACGTAATGCAAAATAAGAATTTGAGTGTCATTTGATCATTTCAACGCACACCAATCCATATTACACAAGAATTGTCAAAATAGTTAGAAATGAAGCCCTAGTTCGGCACTTCTATAGGCTACTTTGACCACAACCATGCATTGGAAGAGATATAGATGGTAGGTAGGCTAATAGGCTACTGATGGGGCATGTCGGAGTTTGTTATGGTCATTGGAGGAATTGCTGAGAAGGCCTGAAATATATGAACACAACTGGAATGCCCGTCTGAAATGGAAATGCTGAATAATATCAAATATATTTTTCGTAAATAATTGATTTCTAAGAACGCCTTTCTACTTTTATATACAATAGGGGTAATAGCCTATAGGCTTGTTGATGTTGTCTAGTGGAATACATCGTAGCAGGTTGCTGAATTCGGTCTTTGGCTGTTGCAAATTACTATTCCAAGTTTGCACTTTTGGTGGGTAAGTATGATTGGTTGTATTTGAATATTTGTTTAATGAAAATAAATATTGACCTCATCATTGATGGTTTTATTTAGGTTTAATTGTTTTGAGTATTAGGCCTACAAGATCGTCAGCCCAAACGATTTGATGAAAAAGTGGTGACATCTGTTTGGTTAAGTAGGCCTAGTCGACAATCAAATAAACATTATTTAATACATTTGGAGCTCGCTGGAGATGATAAAACGATGTAAAACTTTTTAAGATAGGCAGCCCATGGGGATACCATCGAATAATAGTGGACTCCACGCAACCAACGTTACGTAATGCATGAGAACATTTTGTACAATACGTTTCTACATAAGTAGCATATAGAATGGTGATGGAAACGTTCATGTTTTATGTACTAAATAGGCTAAATATTTAGAGACCAAGGCAGCTCCATTGCGAAAACTCATGCATAAACAAAAACAGTGGATTTGCACGACAGAATGATCGAGGAAAAGTACCCTATTATGTTGTTAAACATATATTTTTTTAGATTCAAGAATTCTCTGAAATACTATTATTGCTTTGGTAATGTGTGCGCAGATGTTTATAGTAACCTATAAACTAGTAGTAGTAACCTATACATTGACTATGATCTAGCCAAAAGCTATTATATTCTTATTATTGAGTTATAATCTAAATACTCATAAAAAAAGACAATTCGTGGGAGGTTATTCCAAAATTACTTCAACAATGTTGTTGGCTTATAGCCTATTTTGAAATATATATTTATTTACAATTCGCTTCATTCATCCATTCATGTTACTAGGCTATTTATCCCGCACACTTAGACTACATTAATGTGTAGACTTCCAATACCCCTGCGTTTGCACATTTTAGCTTTAAACCAGTGCAAGATGCTATTTTGAGCGCCTTAATTAGTCTTGAAATGGTGCCCTTATTCAAACTCTTATAGCGATAGGCTATATAGCTTTCTTGGATAATGATATCGGATGTAATGTTTGTATTGTTATTTTTATGTTTGCATGGATACATTTAGAATATCTTGCAAGGCTAAATCTTCTATCTTCCATTTCCACGTCGTAAAACAGGCGAACACTGTTTGCCCTCCTTTCCTTATACAACTCGGTCGAGGCGTTTGAGGTCAGTGTTACAACGGGTTGGGGTATTTCAGGATACAAAGACGAGGGAAAAGAATCGTAGCCTACCTGATGAGGGCCTGTCTGAGTATCTGGTGCAGTACACCCAAGCTGGCCAGAGCATAGGCTGTTTGGATGGTACATTTGAGCTGGCTTGAGAACTATCCGAGTCCGAGCTTAGGCACTGATCTCCATTCTCTCCGCGGGGTTTCAGAGGCTCTTCAGTCGCTATTTCAGGCTTATTGGCCACACCGCCTGGATGAGGAGTGGAAGTTCCCTCGGTTGGCACAGTACTCTCCACTTGCTCCGTTCTTGGAACAGCCGGGCTATGGTTCTCTCTGGTAACGTGACTACCTTCTTCATGGTTTGTGTTGCCTTCTTTTTTCCGGCCAAAGTCCGGCCGTAAAATATTATCGATAAAGAAATTGGTGACTCGATGCGGGATCTGCTGAATGTTGCCCGGCGCTTGTAATAGGGGAAGTATCGCTCTGTTTGACTCATCCGCCGACACTTGACGTTCCTCATCTCTGTTGCTATGATCATTTTCTTCCATACTGATACACTTTCCAATTTTCTTTCTTTAACCCCTTTATTGCTCTCCCTCACCGAAATGAGCGCACTCCACTTCTATGGCACGCGGAGCTTTTCAAATGTTTGAATAAAGGTTTAAAAAAGAAAAAAAGAAACTCAAATCTTGTTGAGTGTGCAGGACACCATGCAACCCTTTGCGATAGTGCCCACAGACAAAAACATAGTTTTGGTCATATATTCCCAAACTTGGCTATCCTATATTGTTGCACTGGATAGACACCATTTGTCATTTGGCCATCCAATTTGGTACTATCCGTTTTCAGTCTATCCAATAAAAGTGCTTCAATTACTAAACTAAGGGTAAATAAAGAGGCTTCTAACTGATCCTGAAACACATTCACTCTTGAGTTTTGTTCTTATTTTCAATACGAGCCCCCAAGTGACGTTGAAGCAGTTATCCTAGACACGTGCCTTGGACCAATAGACTGGGAGATATTTTACCACATGACAGTGACTCGCGAGCTAATCGACAAACGTTCAGCCTCGCCTTTTTTAAAGGAAAAGCGTTCTGGAATAAAACGAAATACCTCACCCTAAATTTCTCTTATGTTTGATTTGACTATTATATTGGTGACTTTGTGTTGTAGTTGGAGGTTAATGTTTTCATTTAATGCGTATTGCATGCGTAATGCATGCGTAATCTGGAAATGGTCAAACGCCATTCCATAAGAATAATAATATTGAAATAGACTTTCATTCTAAAAATGTAATTGTAAGATTGGGAAAAATATGGCGAGTCGGTTAATAGCCAGCTGTGTGACGTTTGCATTATACAACTATTTTGTTTCAGACAGATAAATAGCCTAGTAGTTGTCGAAGCTGTATCCATCCAGCTAGTCTACTAACGATAGCCTCTGCAACCAAAATTGGGTGGGGGATAACGGAGTCCGTAGCTTATAGCTCGTATCGAAGCTGATACGAATTAGTGGGCTACTGGGTTTGGGGGTTTTAAGTTATTTTTAACTCGCGCGTTTTCTATTTGGGACGTTGTGTAACTTTTTTTACTTTACTGAGCTCTTAATTTTGAGGAATGATATTTAATGGGGCTATTGCTGATTCGTCTTGCATGCATCATGTCATTGACAGGGCATTGACCGTCCCAGTTTCTAAAGCCCCATCGTAAATGGCCAATTCATGCAATCATAGCCAGTCATGCAATCGCCAACTTCTTCTGATCTCCTCATGTTTTCTCCATAATTATTTAAAGTGTAGGTAGTGTTGAGTCCCTGGTTAGGTGCTCTAGATAGTCTGCGGTGTGGAAGCGAGTAGCTCGAAGCAAAAATGGGTCCGTAGCCCTTTAAAATAAATCAGTGATGAAAACAAACTGTTGTATTCACTGTGCACATGACATAGAGTTGCGCCAAAGACCAAATTTGGGAGTAACTTTACTGACCAACTCCTTGGCTGCTTTCTCTTAAATCAGGATTCAGGGCGTGCCTTGCAATAGTCGCCAGAGTTAAGTTGCTATTTGATCTGAAATGTAATGTAGGCTAAGCAGTGCGTAAAACGGCATCACTGAATGACTGAAGGAGCGCGTGAGTGAGGGAGGACATAGCGTTTGTCAAATTTAGGTTAAAAAAAAAACTGTGAATTATGGAATTGTTTTTTTCAACCTCTCCTGGGCCAGTGGGCAATATCCGATGTAAATTCTTATCAAGGTAATCGTGAAGTGTCTAATATCGAATTCTTTGTAGGCCTATAGGTGCTATAGAAATGTTAAAAGTTTGGCATTACAAAATTAAGAGGAAAAAGTTGGTCTATAATTTCAACTCAATCTCCCCAAAACGTCCAGGGTGCATTGCCTATATCAACGTTGCGTAGGTCATTATTATTGGTGAGTCCGAACGTTCATAGACTATTCATTCCTAAAAAGAGTGTTGGGGAACGGTGGAATAACTCTGCAAGAGTGCGTTTTTAGAATGACAGTCCCTCTGTGGTGTACTAAGACCCTATAATTAGACTGCATCTTTTTAGGTATTGTCCTGCGGTAAATAAACTTTCACTGTTTCAAAAACAAGTCATATGGCTGACTGTGCCCTATTTCGTGTGCGACCTATTGCATTACTATTTGTTTGCACTTTGTTAAAATGAAAGTTTGTCAGCTCAACAGAGAATAAACTTCGACCAGGCATAGAAATGTTTTCTTCCACATTGTGTAGGCCTATTGGCTCATGCAGAATGGCCAAATCATGTGAGCCCCGCTATATTAATGATAGGCTACATTTGTTACTTTTATGTCATTTTGACCAATAGCCTGAGTCTGGTGGTTTTGAAAGCGGTTCATCAATTCTTAAATTTCCACCTTAGAGCGATCTCCATACGTCATTCATTTTCTAGCAGTGCCCCATGGTTGAGAGCGGCAGCGTTCCCTGCACCATGCACAACCACCATGCACCATGCAGTGACCGTCTTATATCTCCAGCTGATAGTGAACGTTCTGAGTAAAGGATGTAATTAGATAGGCCACTCTCATGCTGCGATTGTTTCTCTCTTTTGAGGGATGTCCAGATTATCCAGAGCACTAATAAATGAGCAGGAGACAATGGCGGCCAGACAGGCCCGCTACCACCGAGGCTTGGCCTCTAACCCCCCTTCGCCTCTTGCCGCGCTCGCTGCCAGCCACAGCAAAACAGGGCAGGCGTGGAGGAAATCACACGATTTCAAGTCGAGTCATACAGATCAAACCACAGCCAATAATAAATAGGGTGCTTCAATGGTGTTCTTGTTGTAGAAGATTGAGGAAATCGAGTTTTATACGTTTTGTTTTGCAGGCTCCTATAGACCGCATTGGCATATACATGTCAATAAGCTATTGAAGGGCTACGTTGGTTTTTATTGATTATATTGGACAATATGGCATAGTATATCACTTAATTTGTAGGCCTCTTCTATTGTGGTGTCACATGCACCCGGTTAAGAGACATTTCTTAAAAAATTGACATAGAGGCCAGCATATCTTACGTTTTCTTCCACCGTGCACCTTGTAGGCTATGCGTGCACACTTTCATGTTTTAAGAAGACTGTGTTGTCTCGATATCCCCTCTGTAGCTCAGTTGGTAGAGCATGGCGTTTGCAACGCCAGGGTTGTGGGTTCGATTCCCACGGGGGGCCAGTATGAAAATGTATGCACTAACTGTAAGTCGCTCTGGATAAGAGCGTCTGCTTAATGACTAAAATGTAAATTTGGTTTATGTTACCCAAAGGTTAGGTTAAACGAACTCGGATTTGGATTCATTGAAAAGGAACAAATTAATGTTACATTTTATGCCTTATTATTATTATAATTTCCAACAGTTTTTCGTGACCCATAATCTGTTTTTCGCTTTCGGCCTATAATTCTTGCAATTGTAGCCTATAGTTTATTCTTGTAACGAATGTTACTAATTCGGTGTGGATCCATATCCTATATTCTCTTATTTCTGTATTAAATGCGTGGATAAATTATACATTTAGATACATTTATAGGCCTATGATTACAAGATAATAAACTTGCATTTAGCCACAACATTCTTAGGACAGTCTTTACCAATATCTCTGATTGCAATATGCCCTCGTTATGCATTTATGCATTGTGCATATCATTTAGTTTTACGATGGAGATGGTAACCCATCTCTCGTAGCCTATGGTAGACCTACATGAGATGCATGCTTTACCATTGCGTCAGTTTGGTAATAACGCCCCCTTTAAAACGTAGTGAGATACGTAAAGGGGTGTGCTACATTGACATTTTTATTCTGCCTGAATGTGACATCATTCTGTTTATCATGTGTTGTTGTTGTTGTTGTGCACATTGTGTATCAGTCAGCTGGTGGTCAATGCCTCAACGGTCGATAGACCTTTATATGATTTACTAAAGATTTATTGGGTATTCGCACTTCTGCACCAGTCTAATCCCCCAGACAAAACATCGCGCCCAGACAGCAACCCTATAGGTCTACTTTTCCCTGGACACTGGCGCGACGAAGGAAATCAGATATTTACCCAAAGCAGTAGACCTACATTTTCAACGAATTCCTAGGGATTTACTCTTTAAAACACCTCTTGCAATAGTTGGAAAAGAAAGAACGATGGTAATGGGCGGCGCACAATTGGCCCAGCGTCGTCCAGGGTAGGGGAGGGAATGGCCGGCAGGGATGTAGCTCAGTTGATAGAGCATGGCGTTTGCAACGCCAGGGTTGTGGGTTCGTTTCCCACGGGGGGGCCAGTATAAAAAAAATATATATATATATGTATTCACTAACTGTAAGTCGCTCTGGATAAGAGCGTCTGCTAAATGACTAAAAAATGTAAAAAAAAATAATAATAATGTAATGGGAAAAGCGAATGACAGTCAATGTAAATTATGTTTCTTATGGGTATAGGCCTTTTATGCTTTCATGCATAAACCTATTATTACCTGATAATTCTACGCCACTTTTTACTATGATTGAAGTATAGCCACGTTAAACACTTTCAATGAAAAGTCTGTCACTCATAACATCAATTGAGTCTGATTAATGTAGTTATTAACAGGATAAATAAAATAAAATCCGTAGGTTATTATGAACATTCACATTTAGTATCCTAACCAATTTCGTTAAAAGTGGACAGAAATGCTGCTTATATAAATGTTATTAACCAATAACTCAGTTGTGGTTATGTAAAATGTATGTTTTGCGTTTATAAATGATGTGCACCTTCAGAGGAGGTGGAAATATTGATCATCCTTAAGGCCATGCATGCATACAACCCAAACCTGTCAAATGTTTTTCGAAACCAGTCGATATACAGACCTGCAGTGTGCCTGCTAAATGACTAATAAAATGTTATGCAAATGTTTATTGTAGACTATGAACCGAGAAGTAAGAGTTAATTTAATTCAGTCCAAGACTGTCTACTTTGGAAGATGCTGTGACATACAGAATATCTAACAATACACAACAATACACACAAATCTAAAAGTAAAATAATGGAATTAAGGA